TTCCCATAGGTTCAAGGCTCTTGGATTTTAACGTGTTAGAAGCTGGGGTTCATCATAACGTGGCCATCCAGGCAAGTGGCTGTTCTTCAGGACAGGCATTCATGTATTTGGCTTCAGCAAATACTGTGATACTAAGTTGAGGGCTGGTGAGCATCCGTGAAGTACCAAGCACAGAGCTAAAGACAGGAGGAAGAGGGAAGCTGTTGCAGTGAAGTGTTCCCCTGCCCAGCTCTCTGAAGGGGTAGCAGGCTGAGCATGTAGGATGGGAGCACGTGGTTTGGGGTTGTCCTCCTCTACAGATGTGTTACTCAGAAAGTAAGGCTCTGATCTCCCTCAGATCACACGGGGAGGGGATATGTGGGAGAAATGTTTATCTTCCTCCAACCCCTGTAATCCCTTAAAAATCTAAAGTTTTTCTGACTCTTTATATTCTGATGCCCTGTGACACACAGGGTGGTTCTGGGGTCCCTGCGCCCCTCTGGGAAGTGACCCGGGTCAAAGAGGAGAGTAGGGACCTCTCCTGTCCTGTGCCTAAAGAGTTGCTTCCCCTGGGGCTTGCTCTTACCCCAGGGTGAGGATCTTTCCATGCCACTCACTGCCGTGCTCTCTGGGAGTGCTTGTGGGGGAGCCGCCTGTGTGTTTTCATGAGAGAGGATTTCCAGCCTAGATAAATAATTCTGGCCAAGCAGCCAGACCCAATGGGACCTCAGTCACTTTTGGGTGAGCTCCCAGTGTGAGACAAATAAGGACAGACAGTTATCCGGCCCCTCTACTCTTCCCTGCACAGCTCAGGTGGCCCCTTTTCCCCTCCCTCTGGCACGTTCCTGACTTGGAAATACCTCCTAGGCTGAGTCTGCCTCTGACCTGATCCATGAAGTGAAGGTGTTGGGGGTGGTGGTGTGAAACTGCTAATTTCTAGGTCATGGATAATGCAGAGACTTGGATGTTTCAGATGTCAAGGAAACAGTTCATGTGAGTGTAAATGGCATGTGTGACCGAGAGCAGTTTCCTGCAGGATGGCCCCACCTGCATCTGCTGTCTGTCCTTTGGGTCTCTGCTTGTGAGCAGCGATGCCAAGAGGACCCTACTGAGTTAGGCAACTGCTGCTGCAAACGCAGGGCAATGCAAAAGAGTGGGATTACATACGAAAAGGTGTGTGCATGGGACAGATGTGTTTATGTACCTGTGTGTAGCGCGGTAGTAATAAAATATGTTCCAGATTCCCTCTGCCCACGCGCATACAGCTTCAGATCCTCTTCGTCTCTGTTTTGTATCATCTGAAGAAATAGTCCTTGTCTGTGCTGCCTCTGCCAAAGTGCAGGATGCTCCAGAGCTCAGCAGTCCCTTTTCCCGAGGTGATGAGACGGTCTTTCCCAGGGTTCATTCTTCAATAAACTCCTTCCCTTGTCACTTCTGTGCTACAGGAGCGGTTGAAGTGAGCACCCTCTGCCTCCAGGCCTCTTTCAGAGTATCCAAGACTTGCCTCTTGGTCAAGCTGAAGATGGGAATAAGCCCCCGCTGGCTGCCATGCTTGTGTTGCCCCAGGCAAACCCTTTTGGATTGATCTGGCCATGCAGGTGGTGGTGAGCTCCACACCTGACTGCTGCAATGGTGGCCACAGTGTCCTGGGATGTGAGGAAAAGCCTCCTGTGGAGGACAAAAGGAGAAAAGCTGCCTGTGCGCTTGACCGCGCTTGCTGAAGTTTTACCTTGCCCTATGCCCCCCCAGCCTGCTAATGCATCCCTTCCGTCAAGCCTGATCGGTGTTTGCTGACATTTTTAATGTCACTGAGCGATCTTGTATCTCTGGTGAACTGTCAGTGTAGAGCTGACTCGGGGCAGAGAGTTTATCATGTTCTTCACTTCGATTAGCTCAGCCTTGTGGGAGGGCAGCAGAAAGCAGAGGAGGTTTTCTTCGAATGCTGCAACATTTCAGATATCCCCCTAAACCATCTCGATAGAGAGCCACCATCCCGCCTGCCAGTTCTCCTTACGTGCCTGTCATGTCGATTCACAGAGGCCCCGTGGGTTAGGACTGAGGTACAGAACCTGAGCTACATCGCTGGAGCTGGATGCTCAGGATGTAAATAGCAGAGAGCGCTTCATGTCAGGAGCGAGGAGCACCAGTGGAGGGATATGTGCAGAAAGCAGGAGGCTGTGGGTCAAGACATATGTGAAAAGGAAAGCCGCTGCAACTAACAAGCTACAACCACCCCGCTGCCCCACGAGCATCCTCAGGTAGCCTGGATAAATTCATTAGTGCTTGTTCTGTCGCAAGGATCAGCTCTCGTTTGTGCTCCCTTTGCTCTTTTGGGAGCCTCTGTGGTTTATTACTCCAGGTCCCGCCTGATTAGCGGCATGGTTGGTCCCATGATGGATCCTCACCCTACGAGGACGGAGCCAGTGCTGTGTTAGGCTGAGGACACAGTGCCTGCGATCGCAGGGTGGCCGGGAGCCTGGGAATGAAAAACACGGCAGGCAGCCGGAGTGCCAGCACCACCGGGTTGGGAGCACATCATGGAGGGGAGAGTGGTTTGATGGAGGGAGGAGGTGGAAGAAGGGCGGTGAAGCTAGATTTTCTTACAATCAGCTTGTGCAAGAAAAACATTAGAAGGATGATGAGGGTGTGAAAACAGCCAGACCAGGCGCATTCCGTGCCAGAGGCCAGTAGCCAATGTTTGCAGGTGTAGCAAGGAGGTCATGATTGGACTCAGCTTTCTCTGGTTCCCAGCAATCGCCTCTTCCAGGACTGAGAGCTGGAAGCTGCTTCTGTGTCTGTCACCCACTGTTTCTACCACCTCTGTCTACCAAAAACTCATACATCCTGTTCTGAATCTGCTTGTGCTTTTGGTTTCCACAGCATCCTGCAGCAATGAGGTTTTCTATTTAATTATACATTCATTAAACTCTACTTATTCATATGTTGTGTGAAGATGCAGGCCCTTTTGTTTCTTTTAAACCTCCTGTTGGATCATTTTCTTGCGCCTAGGTCTTGCATTGCATGGAAGAGCAGATAAGTGTTTCCAGTTCTTCTCCCCTGTGTTATTCTTGACTCAAGGCCTCTGCCATACTCTTGCTTCACTGTGTCTCTTCCAGTGCAGCGTAATGTGTCAGAGGGCTGGCCCAAAGGCACTTGTGGGCTCTGTGACTCTAGAATTGGGTTGTGGAGGCCAGTTTTAACACTGTCCTTATCTTCCATTTCTTCTCTGGATGTTACGCGATTAAAAGGTGAAATGAGTGTTTTAGGAAACCACTAAAGGTTTGTTTTATTCCTTGTTTTTCAAATGGTATTTTATTAGTCTTTAAAAAACACAATCTTCATACCCATCACAGAGCTTCCCCTTTCTCAGGACAGCTGTCCTGGCATGTTTGAGCATCTTCGATTTCTGCTCACAGAGGGCAGCATGTCTTGAAATACATTAATAGTGGTTGCTTTAGAAGTGACAGAAAACTGGTCCTAGTTTGACATCCTCCGAGTTTTTATGAAAGGCAAGGGTTGAACAATGTGTGTGGAGGAATGCAACTTCCCTTCTCTGGGCATCACGGAACAGAGTTGACGGAGCCTTGGGGAGCACAGCGTGACCACACCGGGGGTGACATGGCTGTGTGCAAGCTGGCCTTTTCCAGG